TTGACGGTACATGGCCCCGTCCATCGTCCCTTTGATGCGGTGAAGTTCTCCTGTCCCCTTACCAGAAAAAACACCCCCAAAGCATAATGTTTCCACCTCCATGTTTGACGGTGGGGATGGTGTCTTGGGGTCATAGGCAGCATTCCTCCTCCTCCAAACACGGCGTAAAAAAGTATTTAGTCAGCCACCAATTGTGCAAGTTCTCCCACTTAAAAAGATGAGAGAGGCCTGTAATTTTCATCATAGGTACACGTCAACTATGACAGACAAAATGAGGAAAAAAAACAGAAAATCACATTGTAGGATTTTTAATGAATTTATTTGCAAATTATGGTGGAAAATAAGTATTTGGTCAATAACAAAAGTTTCTCAATACTTTGTTATATACCCTTTGTTGGCAATGACACAAGTCAAACGTTTTCTGTAAGTCTTCACAAGGTTTTCACACACTGTTGCTGGTATTTTGGCCAATTCCTCCATGCAGATCTCCTCTAGAGCAGTGATGTTTTGGGGCTGTCGCTGGGCAACACAGACTTTCAACTCCCTCCAAAGATTTTCTATGGGGTTGAGATCTGGAGACTGGCTAGGCCACTCCAGGACCTTGAAATGCTTCTTACGAAGCCACTCCGTCGTTGCCCGGGCGGTGTGTTTGGGATCATTGTCATGCTGAAAGACCCAGCCACGTTTCATCTTCAATGCCCTTGCTGATGGAAGGAGGTTTTCACTCAAAATCTCACGATACATGGCCCCATTCATTCTTTCCTTTACACGGATCAGTCGTCCTGGTCCCTTTGCAGAAAAACAGCCCCAAAGCATGATGTTTCCACCCCCATGCGTCACAGTAGGCATGGTGTTCTTTGGATGCAACTCAGCATTCTTTGTCCTCCAAACACGACGAGTTGAGTTTTTACCAAAAAGTTATATTTTGGTTTCATCTGACCATATGACATTCTCCCAATCCTCTTCTGGATCATCCAAATGCACTCTAGCAAACTTCAGACGGGCCTGGACATGTACTGGCTTAAGCAGGGGGACACGTCTGGCACTGCAGGATTTGAGTCCCTGGCAGCGTAGTGTGTTACTGATGGTAGGCTTTGTTACTTTGGTCCCAGCTCTCTGCAGGTCATTCACTAGGTCCCCCCGTGTGGTTCTGGGATTTTGCTCACCGTTCTTGTGATCATTTTGACCCCACGGGGTGAGATCTTGCGTGGAGCCCCAGATCGAGGGAGATTATCAGTGGTCTTGTATGTCTTCCATTTCCTAATAATTGCTCCCACAGTTGATTTCTTCAAACCAAGCTGCTTACCTATTGCAGATTCAGTCTTCCCAGCCTGGTGCAGGTCTACAATTTTGTTTCTGGTGTCCTTTGACAGCTCTTTGGTCTTGGCCATAGTGGAGTTTGGAGTGTGACTGTTTGAGGTTGTGGACAGGTGTCTTTTATACTGATAACAAGTTCAAACAGGTGCCATTAATACAGGTAACGAGTGGAGGACAGAGGAGCCTCTTAAAGAAGAAGTTACAGGTCTGTGAGAGCCAGAAATCTTGCTTGTTTGTAGGTGACCAAATACTTATTTTCCACCATAATTTGCAAATAAATTCATTAAAAAATCCTACAATGTGATTTTCTGGATTTTTTTTCTCTCAATTTGTCTGTCATAGTTGACGTGTACATATGATGAAAATTACAGGCCTCTCTCATCTTTTTAAGTGGGAGAACTTGCACAATTGGTGGCTGACTAAATACTTTTTTCCCCCACTGTATGTGCTTTCTTGAGCAGGGCGCTGCAGGATTTCAGTCCTTCACGGCGTAGTGTGTTACCAATTGTTTTCTTGGTGACTATGGTCCCAGCTGCCTTGAGATCATTGACAAGATCCTCCCGTGTAGTTCTGGGCTGATTCCTCACCGTTCTCATGATCATTGCAACTCCACGAGGTGAGATCTTGCATGGAGCCCCAGGCCGAGGGAGATTGACAGTTCTTTTGTGTTTCTTCCATTTGCGAATAATCGCACCAACTGTTGTCACCTTCTCACCAAACTGCTTGCCGATGGTCTTGTAGCCCATTCCAGCCTTGTGTAGGTCTACAATCTTGTCCCTGACATCCTTGGAGAGCTCTTTGGTCTTGGCCATGGTGGAGTTTGGAATCTGATTGATTGATTGCTTATGTGGACAGGTGTCTTTTATACAGGTAACAAGGTGAGATTAGGAGCACTCCCTTTAAGAGTGTGCTCCTAATCTCAGCTCGTTACCTGTATAAAAGACACCTGGGAGCCAGAAATCTTTCTGATTGAGAGTGGGTCAAATACTTATTTCCCTCATTAAAATGCAAATCAATTTATAACATTTTTGACATGCGTTTTTCTGGATTTTGTTGTTGTTATTCTGTCTCTCTCTGTTCAAATAAACCTACCATTAAAATTACAGACTGATCATTTCTTTGTCAGTGGGCAAACGTACAAAATCAGCAGGGGATCAAATACTTTTTTCCCTCACTGTACCATGATATTTGCACTGCTACTGAGTAAACCTCCAATTGTTCTCCACTATTCCACCTGCTAAAACCTCCCCCCATCCCAAGTTGGATTGTCGTCCCAGTGACTGGCAGACCATCCCTGTCCACCTGTATCCTGGGCCTTTGAGAGACTGGGACCCATCCTTTAAAAAGACCACACAGTGCTACCCACAGAACAGAAGCAGATTAACCATCAAAAGCTTTTCCAACGCACTCACCTCGATTGTATTGTATACAGCAATTAAAAAATATACACTACCGTTCAAAAGTTTGGGGTCACTTAGCTTTGTTTTCGAAAGAAAAGCAATTTTTTTGTCCATTAAAATAACATCAAATTGATCAGAAATACAGCGAAAACATTGTTAATGTTGTAAATGGCTATTGTAGCTGGAAACGGCTGATTTGTAATGGAATATCTACATAGGCGTACAGAGGCCCATTATCAGCAACCATCAGTCCTGTGTTCCAATGGCACGTTGTGTTTGCTAATCCAAGTTTATAATTTTTAAATGTTAATTGATCATTAGAAAACCCTTTTGCAATTATGTTAGCACAGCTGAAAACTGTCGTGCTGATTAAAGAAGCAATAAAACTGGCCTTCTTGAGACTAGTTGAGTATCTGGAGCATGTTCGATTACAGGCTCAAAATGGCCAGAAACAAATAACTTTCTTCTGAAACTCGTCAGTCTATTCTTGTTCTGAGAAATGAAGGCTATTCTATGCGAGAAATTGCCAAGAAACTGAAGATCTCGTACAACGCTGTGTACTACTCCCTTCACAGAACAGCACAAACTGGCTCTAACCAGAATTCTAAATAAATCACAGACAGTGTCACCAGCAAAGCACCCCCACACCATAACACCTCCTCCTCCATGCTTTACGGTGGGAAATACACATGCGGAGATCATCCGTTCACCCACACCGCGTCTCACAAAGACACGGCGGTTGGAACCAAAAATCTCCAATTTGGATTCCAGACCAAAGGACAGATTACCACCGGTCTAATGTCCATTGCTCGTGTTTCTTATTGGGGTCCTTTAGTAGCGGTTTCTTTGCAGCAATTCGACCATGAAAGCCTGATTTACACAGTCTCCTCTGAACAGTTGAGGTTGAGATGTGTCTGTTACTTGAAGTCTGTGAAGCATTTATTTGAGCTGCAATTTCTGAGGCTGGTAACTCTAATGAACTTATCCTCTGCAGCAGAGGTCTTCCTTTCCTGTGGTGGTCCTCATGAGAGCAAGTTTCATCATAGCGCTTGATGGTTTTTGTGACTGCACTTGAAGATACCTTCAAAGTTCTTGAAATGTTCCGTATTGACTGACCTTCATGTCTTAAAGTAATGATGGACTGTCGTTTCTCTTTGCTTATTTGAGCTGTTCTTGCCATAATATGGACTTGGTCTTTTACAAAATAGGGTTATCCTCTGTATACCAAGCCTACCTTGTCACAACACAACTGATTGGCTCAAACGCATTAAGAAGGAAAGAAATTCCACAAATTAACTTTTAACTAGGCACACCTGTTAATTGAAATTTATTCCAGGTGACTACCTCTTGAAGCTGGTTGAGAGAATGCCAAGAGTGTGCGAAGCTGTCATCAAGGCAAAGGGTGTCTACTTTGAAGAATCTCAAATATAAAATATATTTTGATTTGTTTAACGCTTTCCCGAGTCGTAGTGGGAGGACCACGCAACATTTCATTGCGTGACTCCAAATTTACTTTTATATGATGGTTATTATATAAATATTTGTGCATAAAAGCGTTTCCACTGACATTTATCGCATAATTAATTTTACCGACACAAAAAGATCCAACCTTGTTTAGTGTATTTTGTTTTGACGACATTTGGAAAGTTTACCGACAAATGTTCTGTTTCTATCAAGCCTGTCATGTACTTTACTCGCATAAAAAGGTTGGATGGAATCCTGGTTACTGAAGACTTGTAAAGAGTAGAATCAACAACCTCTGCGTCATCAACACTGTTGCTTTGTGAGAAGGTGTTAAAGTTCACAGTTAGCCATTGACATGTAAATGTCAGCTGAAAAGTACCAGTGGCCTGGCATTGGCCTCAAGTCAGAGTAGGTCCGCTGGAGCCATGGCCCAGTGAGACATGGGTGCCAGCCCGCGTAGATGGAAACAGAAAAGTCTGAGCCTTTTGGGTAAAACAGTGGGGTAAATCCTGTATAGAAATATGCACCAATATGAACACTGGATGGGCTGGGGGCAGGGATGGAGGGATGGGGTTGATGGGTGGAAGTAGAATGGATGAAAGGATGGGTGTTATAGATAAGAGAGCAGGCGTAATGGTGGGGGATGGATGGATGCAGTATGATGGAGATGGAGATTTATTCTGTACTGAGACTGATTGTGTGTATCTCTCTTTCTCTCTACCTCTCTCTCCCTCTCTCCCTCCAGTCATCCTAAGTCCGTTTGGTCTGAACGGGACTCTGACGGGTCAGTCATTCAAGCTGTCAGACCCTCCCACCCAGAAACTGATTGAGGAGTGGAACCAGTTCTATCCCATCAGCCCCAGCTCTAAAGACAAGGACAAAGACAGCTCGCCATCGGAGGACAAGATGGAGTACATGGACTGGGAGGACGACTCGCTGGCCGCTGTGGAGGTCCTCGTCGGTAAGACTCTCTCTTGCCTAAAATTCTGCATGGATCACATACACATACTTAACCGTTAACCGTGAGTGGGTGTCTGTCTCTCTCTCCAGGTGGTGTGAGGATGGTGTACCCAGCCTGCCTGGTGCTGGTGCCCCAGTCTGACATCCCAGCCGTGGCCCCCCAGGGGTCCTCCCACTGCACCGCCGTCTACTCGGGTGTCCACCAAGTGCCTGCATCCCAACGAGACCCTGCCATCTCCTCAGTCACCCTCACGCCCCCCACCTCACCCGAGGAGGCCCAGACAGGTACAATGAGTACGTGGATAGAAAAATGTCGACCTATATTTAAATCTGTCTGTATATTATAGATTAGGTCAGCGGTCACCAATCGGTCGACCGCGATTGACTGGTCGATCTCCAAGGCATTTCTAGTCGATCGGCAAACATTTCTGTAAAAAGATAAAGCTGCGTTCCTATTTTTTATATTTGTCTCTCGCTGTTGGTGGTAGGTGCACCCGATTCAGCTGCCCTGCACGCCATGTAAGCGAAGGGTTCCGATTTTGAACCATTTCATGTGTCTGAAGGTACAAACTCTGCCTTTCCGGCGGGCCCGGCGAGCATATCAAGTGCACTATAGGCCTACTGCTGGCCAATCGGATGGCTCAGATTACCGTATCTGTATTAACGTAGCAGGCGTAAAAGAAAGCTACAGCAAAGTTGATACTGCGAGTTTTTTAAACTTTTAAAACCATGACTAGAGAGAGTCTGTCAACGAATACAGCAAAGAACTGCTGTTTTTATGAGTGAGTTCATGTTTAAGTTCTTACTCAGCACTGTCAACACTTTATATTCAACACTTTTATAAGCCATAAAATGTGCAACCTTCCTACTTCCACTCGCGCAACAACCAGCACTGCAGCTGTAATGAATGAGTAGGTAAGTGTATCGATAGGCTTGCAGAAATTATGCGGTGCGACTGGAGTTTCGCCATCAGCTGGAAGACGGTGTTCCCTTTTTGGTCAGTGTCAACGGAAGAAAGGGACAGCGGAGGGGCGTTGAGAGGCGGACCCTCAGTCTGCTGTTCTCTCCCTCCGCTGATGCTGACCATCAGATGCAGGCACCATCAGCCCAGTAAAATAAAAATAAAAAGCAAATTATTTGAATGTATGCTCACTCAGCTGTGCCTCAGAAGTAATACAATATCTGATCTATTACCAGTGTGATCATATAGCCTACTTCAAATTTTGAAATATAATTTTAAAAAATATCCGACAACGATGCATTGGCAGGGCAATTCAAGCAAAGCCAATATGTGGTGATAATATGGGCCTATAGCCTACTGCACAAACCTCATTGCTACTGTACTGTTTTTAATAGGTTAATGTAGCATAGGCTTACATTTTTTAAATAATGTTTACAAAAATTAGAGTGGTAGATCTCGGTTTGTATTTTGACTCAGAAAGTGATCTTGACTCAGAAAAGGTTGGTGACCACTGGATTAGGTAAATATGATATATCATATTTCATAAATCATATTGTAATAGATTATATATATCTGGAGAGTTGCTGTGACATATGTCCCTCATACATGGGCGCCTGACTTTGTCTGAAAGTGGGGGTGCAAATTGCAAAAAATAAAATAGAATAAAACATTTTACAATATTTTTGGGGGGGCATATTTAAAATAATTTCCTGCAATTTTACACTGTTTCTTCACAGGGGGTATCCATATTTATAAACATAAAACAATTTTTCTTAGGTTTTGCCACAATAAATTATACTGAAAATCTGTTTTAATGACTAGATTACTAATCTACTCCCTTCCCTGAAAATCCCACCCACAATAATTAATTGACAGGTCTGAAACCCTACCAACCCTGTGACTCACAAACATCCCACCCCCTTCCTTGAAAACCCCACCCATAGGGATTGATTGACAGGTCTGAAACCCTACCAACTCTGTGACTCACACAAGTATCCTGCTCCTCCCCTGTCAATTCCACCCACAGTGATCGATTCACAGGCAAAACTATTAAGAATGTGGCCAAGGTAATGCATGACAATGAGGAAATGAAAACGAAAATGGGAGGAATAATATTGTTTTACCCAATAAGAATTATAATGTTTTACTTGGTAGGTTAAGAAAAAGCATTGTTAAATTGCACATTAAGTTATCATTTTCTTTTTGTCACAAATAACAGAATCACAATAATGTAATACAATGACAAATGTTAATTTTTGTATTTTATTTATTTCTCTATATGGCAGTGTTATCTGTTAGGGGATTGAAAAACAACTGTTAACTTGGAAATGCATTATCACATATACCATTTCTTGGCAGCAATTTATATCCATAAATTGCGGCCCCGAATCTGCAATAAAAACAATAAAATGTAGCTCCGGTAATATGGGTCATATTTGAATGGTTTGGTCTAGAGCAGGGGTCACCAATCTTTTCTTTAATAAGAGCTACTTCATACTATTTTGTTTTCACGAGTTACTCATATACAGCCTGCATATTTTGTTATTGTGTAGGTCTAATTTGATGAATAGAAACAAAGAACAGCACTGCATACAAAATGTAATTGTGTTTTGGTTCTTAAAACCACACATTTTGAACAAAAATCTATCTACTATAGCCTACCTTTTTAAGATGAAATGGTTTTACATTTGATCAAATCTGTAGCCTGCAGTTATTGTAATTCTTTTTAATAGTTTCAAGTAATGTCACATGCACAAGTACAGTAAAATGCCTTTCTTGCAAACTCAAAACCCAACAATGCAATAATCAATAACAATGTATTACTAGAAGAAAACACATGAGAAATAAGAATAGGAAATATGAAATACACAATAAAGTAAGTAAGTAAGCATGCTATATACAGGAAATGTTTAAAAAGTCAGTTCCAATAGCATATTTACATGTGCAGGGATACTGGAGTGATGGAGGTAGATATGTATAGGGGTAAGGGGACTAGGCAACAGGATATAAGATAAACAGAGTAGCAGCAGCTTGTATGTGAGTGGGTGTGCGGGTGTGTAGAGTCAGTATAAATGTATGTGCATATTATGTGTGAGTGAGCAAATTATGGAGTGACAGTGTGTGTAGGGCCCTGTGAGTGTGCATAGAGACAGTGCAAAGGTTGAAATAAAAAGTCAATAAAGATACAAGGTTAACTCAGATAGTCCGTGTAGATATTTTGTTAGCTATTTATCAGTCGTATTACCTGGGGATAGAAGCTGTTCAAGAGCCTGTTGGTGTCAGACTTAACAGTGTCCTTTAAAACAACAAACCACAGTGAGTAGGCTACATATTTGAATTGTGAAGAAACAGAATAATCATGAAAAATATGAGGAATAACAAAAGTGTAGTCTCAGAAAACACACTACTTGACCATTACGCTTTTTTTGACGCAACGAGGGTAGAAATTGCTTATTTGGTCGATATTACCTACCGAGCAAAGCAGAGCTGTTTTATCAATGTACAAATATCCTGTACTTTTTCATTTTGTGCATACAGACAGCTTGGCTACATTGCAGGGGTTGGAACCGGTATTTTGTTTGTGGAACAGAATCAGAACCGCGTAAGTGACCTATACTGTTCAGAAAAGTTGTTTTAAAAGCATGGGAAGCAGTTAATAATGTTATTTTACATTCCGGGCATTTTTTTCCAGTCCCACAAAAAACGCAACAAACCGCCTATGCAAAGCCCTCACTCTGTCACTCAGAAACATTCCAGTGTCTGCCTGCCAGCTGAAAATCTTTGCCAGTGTGTGCTTGTGTAGGCTACCTCCCCCTCCCCCGCCAAAGCATAGTCTACTGTAGCCTACTGATGTTACAAGCGTGATTCAGAAATTAGGAAGATAGATTTTTAATTAGAGAATAATGGATTAACTTTTTAAATGCTAGTTAATGATACTATAGTTATCACGTTTCACATTGGTTTTATTAACAAAAAAAATGTTTTATTTAAATTCTGGTGCCGCTCTGCACACACAAGCTTGTTAGCTAGCTAGCTAGCTTTCGTCCAAAGTTAAGCCAACTCTCTGAAGTTCAATGACATTCAAAGTTCCTTCATAGAAGCTGCACCTCTGTAGGTATAATTCAGTCAGCCTAATTCAGATAATGCATGTCATAACAACAAGATGCCCAGCGTTTCAAGCCAAGCCTCCTCCTCCATGCTCTCTTGCTCTCTCCCCACCCACAAAACTTCTATCACATCTCGCGCCCTACACTTGTCTGTCCAATGCATGTAAATAGCTTGCCCCTCCATAGCAAGCTGCTCTATCTGCACTGATTGGTTAAGTAATTTAATGTTGAGCTAAATGTTAAAAAACATTGATTTTAGAGGGGAAAAAAAGAAAGAAGAATGGTTCTGTTCAGAACAACTGGCCTTGTGGTTAGAGTGTCCGCCCTGAGATTGGAAGGCCGAGTCATACAAAAGAATGGGACCTGATTCGTCTCTGCTTGGCACTCAGCATTAAGGAGATAGATTGGGGGTAAGGCCCTGCGATAGACTAGCGTCCTGTCCAGTTGGTGTACTTGTACATCAAGCTGCCTCGCGCTACAGAAACAGGAGATAGGCTCCTGCCTTATGAGCCGTTCCGGCTCACACAAGCCAAGGCTCGTGCAAGGCTACTTACAGTACGTACTTACTCAGAACGAAAAGATTGGAAAGTAATTTGGGTTCCAACCCCTACTACATTGTAACCGCGAAGCGGCCATGATGCGCTCGCATATGGGGCTCAGCCCGGACTGTTACATTTGTAACTGAGTGAAAACATTTTAACGATGTGATTGAACTGATTGACGTTGGGAAAATAGATAGCAAAAAAGCAGAATGGTGTTAAATGCCTGTAAACAGCTTGTGGATAATTTCCCCCCAAAAAATTGTATCATCTAATATTAGGCCTACTGATTATTTCTCAGTATCTACTTTGCGAGCTACTCATTGACAGCCCGCGAGCTGCTGGACATGCAGTTTCTCATAAGAATCTCAATTGCATACTCCTCACGTCATCTCCTCGCTTCCTTCTCAAAACCCATTGGATGAGAAAGCCAGAGGTCCCTCCCCTCTGACCTTCTCCAATGGGTTTTGAGAAGGAGGCGAGGAGAGAGGAGAGAGGACACAAGCAACTGAGATTCTCCCAGAGACTGAGATACAGCGAAGCCTAATCAGACATGCCCGTGCTCATCATGGTTTTTACAGGCAAAGTGAAATGACAAAATTTGCTTGTGTTGCATGCCGCTCAAATGATATGTAACAACACCCTGAGTGCATCGGACATGAAACAACGATATGAATGTAACAACAGCGCAACAAAATAGACAAAAAGACCAGTGGTGCAACTAGTGATTTCTAACTGCACTGTACCAAAACAGTGGCGAGCGGGAGCGAAGCAAAACTTTAGAGTGGGCAAAACCATTTATCTTACGGCGACGGGGGGAGGGGGTGCAAAATGCAATCTTTTAATTAATTATATAGTGTATAAAATGGCCATATCTATTTTAATACAGACTAGCTCAAAACATTACTAATCATTGAAAATTACCCAATGGATCAGGATACTTTTCTGGTAAAAAAACAAATTGGGGTGCAAAAACATACACTACCGTTCAAAAGTTTGGGGTCACTTAGAAATGTCCTTGTTTTCCATGAAAACATACATGAAATGAGTTTGAATAGGAAATATAGCAAAATGCATAGGAAATGTAGTCATTGACAAGGTTAGAAATAATGATTTTTAATAGAAATAATAAGTGTGTCCTTCAAACTTTGCTTTCGTCAAAGTATCCTCCATTTGCAGCAATTACAGCCTTGCAGACCTTTGGCATTCTAGTTGTCAATTTGTTGATGTAATCTGAAGAAATTTCACCCCATGCTTCCTGAAGCACCTCCCACAAGTTGGATTGGCTTGATGGGCACTTCTTACGTACCATACGGTCAAGCTGCTTCCACAACAGCTCAATAGGGTTGAGATCCGGTGACTGTGCTGGCCACTCCATTATAGACAGAATACCAGCTGACTGCTTCTTCCCTAAATAGTTATTGCATAGTTTGGAGCTGTGCTTTGGGTCATTGTCCTGTTGTAGGAGGAAATTGGCTCCAATCAAGCGCCGTCCACAGGGTATGGCATGGCGTTGCAAAATGGAGTGATAGCCTTCCTTCTTCAAGATCCCTTTTACCTGTACAAATCTCCCACTTTACCACCACCAAAGCACCCCCAGACCATCACATTGCCTCTACCATGCTTGACAGATGGCATCAAGCACTCCTCCAGCATCTTTTCATTTGGTCTGCGTCTCACAAATATTCTTCTTTGTGATCCGAACACCTCAAACTTCGATTTGTCTGTCCATAACACTTTTTTCCAATCTTCCTCTGTCCAGTGTCTGTGTTATTTTGCCCATCTTAATCTTTTATTTTTATTGGCCAGTCTGAGATATGGCTTTTTCTTTGCAACTCTGCCTAGAAGGTCAGCATCCCGAAGTCACCTCTTCACTGTTGACATTGAGACTGGTGTTTTGCGGGTACTATTTAATGAAGCTGCCAGTTGAGGACCTGTGAGGCGTCTGTTTCTCAAACTAGACACTCTAATGTATTTGTCCTCTTGCTCAGTTGTGCACCGGGGCCTCCCACTCCTCTTTCTATTATGGTTAGAGCCAGTTTGCGCTGTTCTGTGAAGGGAGTAGCACATTAGAGGCTGCTGCTGCCTATTGAAATCACTGGCCACTTTAAGAAATGGAACACTAGTCACTTTAATAATGTTTACAGTCACTTTAATAATGTTTACATATCTTGCACTACTCATCTCATATGTATATACTGCATTATATTCTATAATATTCTGCTGTATCTTAGTCTATGCCGCTCTGTCATTGCTTGTCCATATATGTATATTTTCTTAAATTCCATTCCTTACTAGTTTTTGTGTGTATTAGGTATATGTTGTGAAATTGTTAGATATTACTTGTTAGATATTACTGCACTGTCGGAGCTAGAAGCACAAGCATTTCGCTACACCCGCTATAACATCTGCTAAACACGGATATGTGATAAATATAATTTGATTTGATTTGATTTGATTTGATTTACACAGCGTTGTATGAGATCTTCAGTTTCTTGGCAATTTCTCGCATGGAATAGCCTTAATTTCTGAGAACAAGAATAGACTGACAAGTTTCAGAAGAAAGTTATTTGTTTCTGGCCATTTTGAGCCTGTAATCGAACCCACAATTGCTGATGCTCCAGATACTCAACTAGTCTCAAGAAGGCCAGTTTTATTGCTTCTTTAATCAGCACAACCGTTTTCAGCTGTGCTAACATAATTGCAAAATGGTTTTCTAATGATCAATTAGCCTTTTAAAATGATAAACTTGGATTAGCAAACACAACATGCCATTGGAACACAGGACTGATGGTTGCTGATAATGGGCCTCTGTATGCCTATGTAGATATTCCATAAAAAATCAGCCGTTTTCAGCTACAATAGCCATTTATAACATTAACAATGTCTACACTGTATTTCTGATCTATTTTATTTTATTTTAATGCACACAAAAATGATTTTCTTTCGAAAACAAGGACATTTCTTAATGACCCCAAACTTTTGAATGGTAGTGTATGCTTGCACCTCTATTTTAAAAGAGGGGAGGCAGCTGCTCAGTTTGCTCAATTGCTCAGGTGCCTATGCCCCCATATAGTGTGCAGTGGTCAAGAGGTGTGTTGTCAAAGCTGGTTATTGTAGGACAATAAGTATTGTCACTTGTGGTTTGGTGAGCCGATTCTTAACCTCTCCCTCCCATTCCTCCCTCCCCCAGTGGACTCCCAGTCGGCTCTGAAGTGGGTGAAGATGTCGTCGGCTGTGGACGGCTTCAGTGTGGACAGCACCGGTCACCACGGGGGGAAGATCCCTCACAGGCTAGCCAGCCAGGTGGTGGAGAGGGTCTGGCAGGAGTGCAATATCAACAGAGCTCAGAACAAGTACGTCTGTCTCTGCTACTGTCTCAGGACGCACACACTCTCAACCAAAGCCCTAGAAGAAGTAGAATTGCTATAGGCGTTAGAGCTGCACAATATGGGCAAAATATCCAATCTCAATTTTTTTACCAAATATCGTGATTGCGATTTGACTTGCGATATAGATCAAAACACTTTTGGAATCATAGAAATTAAATGATTTATATTAAGAAGCAAAGTGGAAAGCAGCATCGTTCTTGTTTGGAGCAATCTGTTGACAGCATTTGACCTAACAGAACAGCATGCAAACTTCTTATGAATCTAACAGCGAGGAGAAGGAATTGAGTGGCAGAAGGCGGGGATTGGTGTATGTGGGAAGCTGCCGCAAGAGGAGAAAGGGAGAGAGACGACAAATGGAGTAAACTATAAAAACGGACGTTACACATGGCTGAATGGCATTTAAAATATTGCATGAGATATAGAGCTCTTGCATTATGGATATTTTGTACATGTCAATATTACGATTTCGATCTGAATTCGATTAATTGTGCAGCCCTAACAGGCGTACACAAACACATGGTCACACACACTGTCAACAAGCACATGCTCACACACATACATGTTTACCACACCATAGACCCACTCAACGAAGCCTAGAGGGAATATGCAGTATCTACCACAACGTGTGCACGCGCGTTGTGGTAGATATTGCCTAACATGTTTGTCAAATAACAGGCACATGCCTTCACAATGACGCTTCATTTACCAAATTGATATTTTAGAGAAGTATAGTAAGAAAGTAATGGACAAATGGTTCATGTTTTGACTCAATGGTTGTGTGTGTTGTCCAGGCGTAAATTCTCAGCGACAGCCAACGGTACCTGTGAGGAGGAGCTGATGGAGAAAGTAGGGGCCTGGGACTTTGTAGAATCAACACACAGGTCAAACTGCAACTGCTCCAGGTAAATGATGCATGATGTTTGTTTATTGGTTTATTTGTGTTCCTCTGGTCTAGGACCTGTACCCTAAGCCCTCTGTAAGTTGATATACTTCTAGTTTCTTGTGTAGACACAAGCTTGCCTTTTAAGGAAGTCTTACTCATTGGATGTCTTACTCAGCAAAACAACATTCGACACGTCAGTCTAAAATGTGAGATGTATTTTAATCTCAATACATATGACATTCATCTCTATTTGTCTGTTAAGTGACAACCCTGTCAGGGTTCAAAAGTAGTGCACTATGTAGGGAATTGGGTGTCATTTAGGACACAGTGGGAGAGACCCAGGGGCCAGTCCGACCTCTAGAAGGCCTGCTCTAAAAATGGAGAGTGTCTGTAGCCCCTAATGTTGACAAATGATCTGCGTCTAGAATGGGTTATTGTGTGGATGTGAGGTTGACTGTGGCAAGGCTGTTTCTGTTTGGGGTTGGGACACAGACAGACAATATCACATCCCTGTGTGCGTGTGTGCACGCCTGTGTGTGTGCACGAGCATGTGTGTGTTCTCTCTGAAGGGGAAAGGCTGCAGTCAGCATGTCCCGCTGCTGTCTCCTGGCAGACACACACACAGCGGCTAAAACACACGTCACGCTGCAGCTCGCACTGAAATAGCTGCTTGACACTGCACCTTTATGCTCTCGCTCTGGGAGTTTGCTTTGTGTATGTGTGTGTGTTTTTGCTCGAGGAGCACTTTCACTATAGATAGGGGGAGACCCTTGCTCGCCACTGGTGGTGTGAGGGAAGGCAGGCTGTGTACAGGGACGCAGTGGGAGAGACCCAGAGGCCAGTCTGACCTCTAGAAGACCTGTTTAGGGAGATGGATGCTCTAAAAATGTAGAGTGTCTGTAGAGCCTAATGTTTACAAATGATCTGCTGCGTCTAGAGTGGGTTAATGTGTGGATGTGAGAACTGACTTTGGGGAAGTCTGGCTAGAGCTGTTAATTGGTTGGAGGGAACCTGGAGCAGGGGTTCTCAAACTTTTTTGGGCTTGGGGCACCTTTTGTGATAGCAAATTCATCAGAGACCCCCTCATAATCAGAACACCAACTCTAGTGAGAGAAAAATAGCATACAAGGAGTTTTACTATGACTTTGGCAGTGCATGGCTGGATGAACCAAGCCCTGGGAAGGAACATTTTAAAGGCCCATCTCTTAGCATTGGAGAAAAATTGTTGCAGTTTTCAAGCAGATTTTCTGCAATTCTACACATTTTGTCATGGGGCAGAGAATTTTTTTGTTGTTGCAGCTTTAAAGCTAATATCCTGCAATTCAAAAGAATTGAAAAAGAAAACTGTATGTTTTAAAGCTTAAATTACAGTGCATTTATGTAAATACAAGAAGTATTGAGTTGAAAAATGTATTATTGGTGGAGTAATGTGGATACCAATATCCCTGTGAGCCTCCCAGGCCTATTTTCCTGTGTTTTATATATATTTCCACACTATGAGGTTGGAATAATACTTTGAAATTGTGAAAATGATGATAATGCCCTTTTAGTGTACGAGCTGTTTGAAAAGACAGCCTGACATTTCCACCTGTTTTGGTGGGAGTGAGTTTTGGCCTTCCATGGTGACATCACCATACAGTAAATTAGTTAATTGACCAATAAGAAAGACAGTTCCAAACCTCTCTGCCAATAAAAGCACATTTTCAGTTTTCCCCTCTACACTCAAACAACTCATAGACAGTCTTAGCAAAATCCTTGCTTGAGAAATTGCTATTTTCTAAGAAGCTATTTTTATTTATTTCTGACCATTTTAATTTAAAACAATCACAGTAAGGTACTTAATTGTTATCCAGATTTGATATTAAGATAAAAACGGCTGCATTGGACCTTTAAGAACATAAATTGTAGATAATAATTATTAATTATTATATAATTAATAAAGTATTGTATTACACCCTCTAAACTTATTCCACAGATCCCTTGGCCAAAATTGGTTTAATCTGTTGTTGTTATATAGTAATATTCATGAAAACTAATTAAATGTAAAGAAAGAAAAAAATGTTTTTTGAGAACCCCTGACCTAGACTACTGGAGGTGACATTGAAAAGGGAATTCCTGTGTGTGCAGCACGAATTCTAATGGCCATCGGCTTGGCCGTAGGAAGTTGTTTGTGTGTGTGTGTGTCTGTGAGAGTGTTAGTGTTTACCCACTCCGCATATTGTTTTTGCTGCGTCTTGCCTGCTGACAGTTAAGCAGCAGGGTTCTATTATAATCCTGTGAAGTAGTGCGAAGGACAACAGCTACCTCCCTCCCTCAACATGCTGCCTGCTCCACAACCACAAGAGCAACCTGCGATTACCATGCTGACAGACCACCGGCCAAATAACATCCCAGTGCCCCCTCTAGCCGACCTGACCCTGAGTATACCCCCCTCATCCCCCTCCTCCCTCCACAGCCACTAGCCAGTGTCATAGACTGGCTTTGGATTTATTGCTCCTCGGTCCCCTTACAGTGAAACATGAGGTAACTTAGTGGCCGCCTGTCCCCTGGCCTAGACTGGGGACAGTGTGTGTGTTTGAGTGTTGACAGCGGAGGTGGAGGTGGTGGTATGCACTGGGCCAGGGGCAGTAGTAGCAGACAGGCTGGTTAGCAGGGGAGTGTGACTCAGCCAGGCCTTTATGGGGTCTGGTCACACGACAGCCTAGAGGGCTTTGGGGGCCTGAGGGCTGGGGACCACCACAACACATTCCAGACCATTTAAACCCAACCAGAAACAGGTCTCCTTCCCACCTGGGTCATGTTCAGTAGGGCACACATGCTTCACTCAGTTTTCTCCCCAATAAACACAGCGTTGGGGGAATGCTCTATTCTAGTGGGTGTGAGCTAGACAAGATGCATGGTTTGGGTTGTGGTTAGGAGGCCAATAGAATGCAGAATAATAACATCAGTTTAAAATGTTTGTTAGAGTAGCATCAGCATGACATGAGGAGTTTATTAGATTTGAGAGGAACTCATTTGTTCACTTAATTGATTCCGTGCTTCATCCAGATAAGGCCATGCCAGATTGGTCCTTTGACTGGCTACATTGACTTTTAACACAAATCAAATGGGAAAGTAGGAAGTGAAAGATCAACAGTTTACTATATGTAATTGGGAATAAAAGTAATGAATGTGTTTCATACTATTTTGTCAATATAAATCAGCATTAAATATATTTTCAATATAAATCAGCATTAAATATGAATTCAATATAAATGTGCATAAATGCATAAATCTCATACACCTGACTTTGAGTCTGAATTTAAATGTTCTATAGATCAGTTTGTTCTTGGTAATTGATTGAGCTAGATCAGAGTTGCTGCTCAACAATGGTTATTGAGCTAATGAATGCACAACCTTAACACAGGTGAACGAATGGCATTATTATTTGTTTATTTATGTCTTGCAGTGAGACATGTAAATGACATGCTTTCTCTTCCTCTTTTTCCTCCCAGGCATAAAGCCCTGAAACAGCGAGGTGGCAGCACCCCGGGCCAGCCCCAGTCAGCAGGTCAGCCCACCCACACCCAGCCACCCACGAAGCACAAGGCTGGGGGTGACAAGCCAGAGAAGAGCGACAAGCAGACCAAGAGGCCGCAGACACCCTTCCACCACCGCAGCGCTGCCTGCGACAACGTTACCATGGAGACGAAGGTGGCGGGCCAGAGGCTGGCCATGAGGGCCCAGCAGGTGGGGGGTCGCTTCCCTGGCCTCCGCCCTGCCGACGGTGTCACCAAACCCCCCCAGCTGCACGACGGAGGGGTGGGTAGCGCCGGTGGTTCCTCAGAGATGACAGGTTCTCCCCAGCCCCCTCCCCTCAGCCCCCACCCCTGTGAGCGCGACAGAGGAGAGGAGACAGGGGACGGCTCTTTGAAGAACCCCTCCACCCCCCACAGCCAACACTTCTACCAGCCGCCCCCGGAGCCCTGCCTGGCAGAGCAGAAGGGTGGCGAGGGGGACCCCCGTGGACTGGATGGCCTGGCCCAGCACTTCCACCACCCCCACACGGCCTACCCACCCGAGACCCTGGAGCCCACCGTGTACGTAGGCTCTGCAGTCAACCTGGAGGAGGACGGCTCTCCGGCGCCATGGAGGTTCTTCAACCTGCCCAGGAGGAAAGAGGCCGCGATACCCACGCCAACGCTGCCTGGGGACAAGCTGAGGGACAGGGAGAGAGACGAGGCATCGGGAGGACAGGAGGTGGTGTCTGTCACTGAGTGAGTGTCTATCCCCGTTCATTAATTCTTATCTCCCCATTAATTTAACCACTCAACACCCACTATTGCCCATAGAGGGTGCTAGAGGCCCCCAGCCATTTACTGACTCACTGGCCATCCAACCCTCCCTCCCTTCCCATCACCCCCTCTGGCATACAGACAGACGGGCCCCTTTTTGAGTACCTCCAACATTCTAGAAAAAAAAGTGATTGAAAGAGCAGTGATGCACAACCGGGCCTCCCCTCCCTCCCCCTGCCTTAGAATGTTCTGTGGTGGTGCTGAGCGCACACGGCATGTTCATCTCTCGCTATGTGCCCTTTTGACATCACTAATGTGCATGGCCAGCACTGCGGCAGAGACTGGAGAGAGCTTATTGATCCCCCCAACACACACACACACAAACACACACAGGGCCCCAGAGATGGAGGGATAGAGGTAGGGTTATATAAATAAATGGATCCATCTACGCCCTCTCCATTACAACTCCCCCTACTTCCTTCCTCTCCACCCTGAACACGTGAAGGAGGGTGGCATCTTCGAAGTCTTGATGTCAGAGCAGAGGTGTCGCTTCACTGAGAGAGGGAGAATATAGAAGTGGACTCGAGGGAGCAGAAAGGGATGTAGAGGGAGAGAGGGATGGAAAGAGAGACAGAGACATGCTGAGATGGACTATGGATGGGTGGGCCCGGAGAGCAGGCAGGCAGGCTAGCCGTCCGTCCGGGCCGAGCAGTGGCGGTCTTGGGAATTATCGGAGGGGTTATGCAATTTCAGGGATGGATGCTGGACAGTGCTGTGGGCAGGGCTATGGACTGCAGGGCTATTCTGGTGCGGAGAGAGGTGGGGAGGGAGGGAGGGAGTAATCCTGGCGGCCGGGAAGCAGCTCTGAATGGCTGCTAATCTCTGGCTGGGGCCACTGCGCACTGTCACCTCGCATCACAGCCTGGCCGGAGAGAGGGAGGGAAAGAGAGAGAGAGAGAGAAGGGACCTACATGAGCTCCCTCCCCCTCCCCTTCCCCCTCCCCTTCCCCCTCCCCCTCAGAGGGCCCCAGCGGGGCTCATTCAGTCTAGTAACATCTGAACAACAACATCAACAACTGGAACACAGGCCCATAGTCAATAAAAAATTATTCACAGATTACATTGAAAAAGAGACATGAATAGCAACGGATTAAAATGTTCTCATATGCTCTACCTCCCCACAATGTTGATAGATGATCTGCACAGCCATATTTATTTTATTTAACATATAACCCATATAGGCCTAAACAAACAGCATAACTGCATCCCACTCTGTTATCAGTAAATTACTGTACTCTGTAACCCTATTTGTCATAATGAATATTCTGTCCCCTCACCCTGTCCCCTGTTCCCAGGTTGATGGCCACATCCAAGCGGCCTCTGAAGGTGTCTGAGGAGCGCGTGCAGATGTACATTCAGCGGAGGAACCAGTACCTGGCCGCCGCCATCACCGATGACGACCACGAGCCCGAGGTGGACCCCTACGCCTTCGAGGACGGGGATGTCAAGTTCTCCTTCTCCGACAAGAAGGACAAGACGGGTGGCGAACGCCAGCCCGGGAAGAAACACAAGGTAGGGCTAAAGTTACAACTTGATCAACTGGGGGCGGCAGGCAGGCTAGTGGTTAAGATTAACCGAAAGGTTGCTGGTTTGAATTTTATGATGTACCCTTGAGCAAGACACTTAACCCTAATTTCTCCTGTAAGTCGCTCTGGATAAGAGCGTCTGCTAAGTGACTAAAATGTACATTTAAAAATGTAACTGGGGCGGCTGAGAAAAATCCTTTCCTCTCCTCGCTGCTGCCTCCAACCTGCCACTGTTTGTGACGTCCTTTAGGGTCAGGAAGCAGGAAGGGTTTGGTTTAGGGTGACAAGATAAGGCGTCAGCAATCCTGCACTGTAAATGTGTCATTAGCTGTATTCCGTCCTCTTTTTTCCACCAAATCTACTGCTCAGGAAGCCAGCTCCAGCTCCCATTGTTATCCCATCAGAGAGATGCCAAAATAGTTTGACGCCCTTTTAATTTATCTGCCCCACCTCTCACTCTCGCTCTAATACCCTGTGGGCTCAGTCTTGTCTTAAAATTGTTTCTCTGTTCTAAACCTGGACCACCTGTTAGCTGTGGAAACGCCGCCAGCACTAAGGGGAGAGCAGGGGGAGGACAGGGGGGAGTGTGTGGGGATGGTAGTGAGCTGCCTGGCAGTCAGCCTCCCTGGCCCTGCCTGCTTCCCTGCCTGTCTGCCTTTGAGGCTGCATGTCTGCAGCAGGCTGGCGTGGAGGAGGAGTGATGCGCTAGGCTGGCTGGGGCTTTAACAGGCCAAATAAACCTGGCTCACTGAACCGTGCATTTTTAAAATAGCTTTTTTGTTTTATTTCACGAGGGCTGCTGAGATTTTTTCTTCTCCCTTGTGTGTGTGTGGTATTGTACTGTGTGTTTGTATGTGTGGTATTGTACTGTGTGCAGTTGCTGCTGCGCTGCTTCTATAACAGGAGGTCCCCCAGTGGCCACTATGAGCAGTGGAGCCACAGTCTGCTGAGCGCTCGGTGTGTTACCTCAGCTACCTCCTCCCCCCTTGGTCATGCTTCACACTCCATTGATGACGCTGCAAAGTGACAGCCTATCTTTTGTGCACTTTTATGTGTGTGTTCATGAGTGGGTGTGTGCCATAGACTTTCTAGGCAGTGCTATTTGCCAAATTGGTTTATGTTCCCCACCCCCTGAGTTGTCTGTGTGTGTTCAGGAGGTTGGCATGCTGTCAAAGCTCCAAACGTGCTCTAGTTGAACCACTAGAAACCCCTGCCTATGAAACAATACAGCACCCTCACTTACCAGTGGAGCTGGGCGTACAGCAGCAGCAGAGAAAACATGGGGCACAATATGAACACCACACTGACTGCCTCTACTATATGTTGTTCAGTGGCTACAGGCTCCTCTCCTCTGCTTTACAACGAGGTCGCCATGTCATTAGTGCTTCCGCGTCCGCATTATTTGGAGTGAAATGGTAGAGCCAGGACCTTTTGAATACGTGCCTGACCCCTCGGGGTGGGGGGGGGGGAGAAGGAACGAGAGAGGACTCTTTCATGCGGACAGCCTTGGAATAGTAAGGGCAGTGTGACACAAGGCTGGAACGCATCTATACAAACACCAACACACGCACACAAAGGCCTCCAGCGTTCCAGCCAAGGATGAGTTATTGATAAGGGGCTAGCTGGCGTCATTAATGCGTTATAGGATTTTTGTTTGTGGCTTGTGTTGTTTTTGCTGGCGTGCAGCAGGCCTTCAAATTATACAGATTAAAGGCCTTTTACACAGACAGACAGACAGACAGACAGACAGACAGACAGACAGACAGACAGACAGACAGACAGACAGACAGACAGACAGACAGACAGACAGACAGACAGACAGACAGACAGACAGACAGACAGACAGAGAGAGAGAGAGAGAGAGAGAGAGAGCGAGAGAGAGAGAGAATTCACCCACTCAATGGCTACTGGAACATACCATTCCCTGAGCCCCAACCATTCCCTGAGCACATTTGCTCGCACACTGAGTGTCTGCCTCCCTGTCTGCCTGCCATGTACACAGAGGCCCCATCATAAGAGCACACAGCCCTATCCCTGAGAGATATTGACAAAGTGTAGTGGTATTAGGGCTCCCTCCCAGGCCCAGGCGGCCATGGCATTTCTCCCATACACTGGGAGCCTTGTCTGGAAATCTCATTAGTACAGTCAGATAGTCAGTACAGAGGCGTTGTTCCTCTCTTCTCTTTCTTCTCTCTGTATTTTTTGAAGCCTAAAATAAACCTACTCTCCACTGAGACTGACAGAGCAGCCCAGCTCTCGGGCTGGAGGCTCCGGTGTACTTTCTACAGTTAGGCAGGAGATGTCCCTCTTGTTATGTTATTTAGACTGTGTTTATTGTTTTATTTTCTTTGCAGTTTCATATAGACTGTATCTGCTATTGCCTTTTATCCATTATCAATATATTTTGATTGTGTCTGATCAGCTATATCCTATCGGTTTTGTTTCTTTGCATTTGTTTTGTGCACAATATTGATCTCTCTCTTTGTCTGTCTGTCTGTCTCTCTCTCTGTCTCTGGCTCTCTCTCTGTTTCTCTCTCTGTCTCTGTCTCTCTCTGTTTCTCTATCTCAGGGGGAGGATGGAGCAGCAGGTACATCAGATGGTAAGGATCCTCTGTCTGTCTCTGCTGTACTGTGCAGCTCTAGGCTCTGTTAGATGACAGGGACATGGCTGTCATTACCTGGGTCCACAGCCTACCTAAGTGACAGCAGTAACAGCCTTTAGTTTTACTTACTGGGGGAGGTCGGGTAATGTAATTACATGCACGAGCACAAAACACCACATCTGTCATTTTAGTCCCGTCCGAATCTGCCATGTCGGTAATTATTACTTGGCGGGAAGGTTATTATTCCAGCCCCAAGAACCTATTGTTTTTCGGGAAACTCCCAGGTCCTCTGATAAAGCCCGTGCAAATCGTCATCCCTGTGTTTTGAGGGATATTACAGAGTTTAACAGGTGCTGCACCCAGTTTAGGTAAGAACATGGGAACAAATTGATTCTTAAAACAAAGTGCTATGCATGTAGCCTACAGATGATTGGTCTGTTTTGTCATATATCAACTTTCATAGTGCCTATTTCTCTTTTGAAAGATTAAGCGGATGATATTGTGCCAATTAATTTATAAATTGCCAAATACGTCAGTTAATTATATGTCTGCATACAGTTAATGGTTTTTATTGATATTTGTTTTACTTTCTTCGAACTGAAAGCCAATATTAAGCTATCCCTAGAGAAGTTGAAATATCTTCACTCCTAGAACAACCTCCAGGCTTCCGTCATAACGGTCAATTTTGAATGAGAAAAAACGAATTCCGTCAGAATCGTCCACTGGAAAAACAGACATGCTGGGGTAATAATTACATAACCAACGTTCTATAGTAATACTAGTCCCGTGCGAATAGGGCTTATGACAGCCTTGGATGATGGGGTGAAACCATACAGTAGCTTACCACCTGTCTGTCATAGGCTTCTCTCAGCAACAATAAATGCAGTCAGTCAGTCTCAGCCATCATAGTGTGGTGTATCCATAGCTCATGGCGCATATGAATTTTAATGGTAAAGTCTTATCTAGATCCCTCAGGCATGTAGGTGCATTACTACGTTTCATTCAGACTTCATTTAGAATTGATTTAGCAGGGTATGAGAGCATTCTCACATGTTTACTAGCTATTGAATAAAGCCTCAGGAATAGGTCCACATGTAACACTGATAGCCTCTGATGTTGAGGTATATATGGGAGTGTTAGAGATAGCTAGAGGTGGGTTACTAACCTAATCCCTGTGTTTGTTGCTCCCCCGTCCAGAGGCAGCACTGGAAGCAGCACACGCACGCACTGCGTCCACTAGCCTAATCCACGAGACCGACCTGGCCGTGTCCATCAACGACCTTGACAACCTCTTCAACTCCGATGAGGACGAGCTCACGGTCAGTACGGGGTCTGCATGTGTGTGTGTGTGTGACGAGGATGAACTCGCGGTCAGTGGGGCCTGCCAGCACTACAGCCTGCCCGCTGCACTAAACCACAATGAATATCCCATTAGCTAGAGCACCGCCTGGCAAGAGACGCCAAGTGTGTGTGTGTGTGTGTGTGTGTGTGTGTGTGTGCATCTGAGTGTGTGTGTGTTGGTGAGCCAGAATGTTGCAAACGTGCAGTACCTCAGCGGCTTTGGTTGACACGTCATCCAACAACACATTGCAGTGTAATAGGCTGTGTTTACACAGGCAGCCCAATTCTGATCTGTTGGCCAATTATTGGCAAAAGATTTGATCTGATTGGTCAAAAGACCAATTAGTGGAAAAATATCAAAATTGGATTGCCTGTGTAAACCTTAGATTCAGAAAGTATTTCCCCAGCCCCAAAGATGGATATGATGGCTTCCAAAGGGCTCTGTTCTGACTCTGGCCCCCACAGAACAGAGCAGTCACAGTCCAACCCCCTCTGTGCTCTGCTCTCTCTGGTGACTGGGTAGCTGGGTAGAAACTCCTGAGCTCCTGAGTGGCGCAGTGGTCTAAGGCACTGCATCGCAGTGCTAACTGTGTCACTAGAGATCCTGGTTCGAATCCAGGCTCTGTCGCAGCCGGCCGCGACCGGGAGACTCATGGGCGACGCACAATTGGCCCAGCGTCGTCCAGGGTAGGGGAGGGAATGGCCGGCAGGGATGTAGCTCAGTTGATAGAGCATGGCGTTTGCAACGCCAGGGTTGTGGGTTCGATTCCCACGGGGGGCCAGTATAAAAAAATATATATATGTATTCACTAACTGTAAGTCGCTCTGGATAAGAGCGTCTGCTAAATGACTAAAAAAAAAAAAAAAAAAAAAAAAAAAACTGTCTGGCACCAACCCTGCAACAATACACTGAGGGGTGCAATGTCACAGCTGGGTTACAGCCTGCCAACATGGTTCCCCAACCCCTCACTGCAGGGGCTTTGTTGTTGTTGTTGTGGAACTAACGTCATATCGACTTGCTGACTATCACTGTCCTCAGGTTTCAGATTTTAAAAAATATTGATTTATGTTAGGTTGTGTTATTTAATGTAAACTTCATACAGGTTAGTCTCATTGAGATAAACTATTTTGCAAGAGAGACATGTAATTTAATTGTTTATGTTTTTGTGAATAAACTTCAATGTTCTTAATCATATTTTTGCCATGTCTTTGTTTATATTCAGCCTGGTTCCAGACGTGCAGTGAATGGAACAGATAATACATTTGGCAACAAGGAACCAAAGCCAGCCCCTTTGGACCCAGTCTCCTGCATCAGTAAGACTGCTTCTCACTGCTTTAGCTATGGATGCAAGGACTCACCATCCATGATATCAAAATGATAGTTTTAACCATGTTTTGAGGCAATACAGTGTTTGTTTACATCTACTTTGTTTACAAACATCGGATTAAAACAAGCTTCTATTTTGGGTTCTGATGGGGGTACGACAGTTGAACTAAGCTCATGAGGCATTTCTAAGTTATATTCAATGGGTATATATCATTAATTTATAAGTCAAAAAATGGATGTAGCAATCACAGATTGCTGCTTAAAAGGCTTAAGTATGATACACTGAAAATGTGCTCGAGGCAACTCAAACCCATGCAGAAACTCATCATATAACACTTGGAATGCACACACTGTTCATACTAATTAATTCACTAATGAAGCATGAAGCTTCTTCTCAGCACATGTTTGCATTCCAGGATCTTTATGTATCAGGCATCTCAGTAGGAGTGCCAATCTAATATCAGGTCCTCATGTTCATAATAATCTTATCAGTGGAGGCTGCTGATGGGAGGATGGCTCATAATAATGGCTGTAACGGAGCGAATGGAAGGGCATCAAACATATGGAAACCATGTGTTTGATGTTGTTGATACCTTTCGATTTATTTCGCTCCAGAAATTACCATGTGCCCGTCCTCCCCAATTAAGTGCCACCAACCTCCTGTGAATCTTATTAATTATGATCCAAAAGGCTAAACTGATCCTAGATCAGTACTCCTACTCTGAGACGCTTGATACATACGCAACCAAAAATATGTTGTTTACCTATGTTGCTCCCCCTTGTGGCGATGAGAGTTCTACAAAAGTCACTGGCTGTCTGAGTGTCCCTGCTCCACTCCAAACAGACAGCTCTGAGCCTTGGGGCAGGAACAAGTGTCTCATTATCTACCTCTCTATGTGACTAGTCTATAGCTTTGTGTGTGAAATAAGGTGCTTGCTTGTTGCCCAGCACTTAGACTGTCAAACTGTTGAGCCTCGGCTGCCTTTGAGACTTCAGATCATCAGTTGTTGTTGTCACTGAATGGGAACCTTGATTCATTCACACACCCCCCCCCCCCCCCCCTCCCCCCTACAGGCTCGGCAGACCTGCACCAGATGTTCCCCACTCCCCCCAGCCTGGAGCAGCACATCATGGGCTACTCCCCCATGAACATGGGCAGTAAGGAATATGGCAGCATAGAGGCTGGACATGGCATGACCAACCTGGACGGTGCCTCGTCCCTAGGGGGACACTTTAAGATTGAGGTGGAGGAGGGCTACTGCAGCCCCAAGCCGCAGGAAATCAAGGTGGGTTTTGGGCCCTACATTTAAACTTGACCCCCTATCTGACCACAAATGGATCATTCCTCTGCATCTCCTAACTGTCTTTGAACTTAGGACTGCTGGTGTGCCTTAGCCTCACCATGCTGTGTAGTTTCGATAAGGATGAATGTCAAATATCACTGTAGCAGCCATTGGACTACGTCAGTGTACATAGAGGACATGGTCTTACCTCACCCCTCCCTGTCTCTTCCCCTCAGGACTTCTCGTTTGTGTACAAGCCAGAGCTATGCCAGGCATTTGTGGGCTGCTCCATGTTTGCCCCCCTGAAGACCCTGCCCAGCCAGTGTCTGCCCCCCATCAAGCTGCCAGAGGAGTGCATCTACAGGTCCAGCTGGACCACCGTGGGCAAACTGGAAATGCTCAACCACCTCCATGTGCCCACCATGGCCTACCTCAACAAAGACAGGTAAACATATTGCCTTCAAGTACATAGTCCTGAAACCACTTATCTCCTCACCTGCCATTGCATTGGTGTGTGGCTGTGCATTTTAATTGGCTGATATAGTAAATCAATCAATCAATCTCTATATGAACCACTCGTAAGCAGGGATATGAGTTTTCCTAACTGCTAGGGGCCCATCTGCTAAATATGGGAGGGCTGTCTGCCTGTCTAGCTGACTGTCTCAGGACCCTCAGCTCCTAAAGCCTGTGGAACCAATGGAGATTTTTCCAGCTGCTCCAAGGATTCTTTACTATTCGTAATGCTTATCTGTGCTGAGGTGTAATTTAGACCTACAGGATACAGACAGACAGACAAACACACACACTGGCTGGCACACATGTGTACGCATGCGTGTGGACACACACACACACACATTCAGGGTTTATCCCTCTACCCTCTGAGGAGCCTGTTCCATTCCTCATGCATGGCTGATTGATGCAGAGCAGAGGAGATGAGAGGAGTATAGAGAGCATGGTGATTGAAGGAGAGGTTTATCAGAGAGCTGAGGCTGGAGCTTGGAGCTGTGGCGGGAGGCTGGGTGTCTCCACACAGCTCCACTCAGATCACTGCACTGTTTATGTCTTGGAAATATAGTCATCAACCATTTTCTACAGACCTCAAAATCAGAAAAATGTCTAGTAGCTGCTAGACCTCATACATTTTTTTAAATAATAATAATGCCTTCATTCAAAATAGAGTCAATTATACTCCACTGTACTTAGTGGAAGAATGGAACCCTGGCATATGGCTGTGTGAGGGAAGATGTGCCTTTCTGCCTTGTTCGGGGCTGAGGAGGGGGGCCTGCCTGCTTAGCTAGGGCAGTGTAGAGTGTTATAGAGGGTGTAGAGTGGTATAGAGAACGTTGTAGAGCGGTATAGAGGGGGGTATAGAGTGTTATAGAGGGGGGTGTGGAGGGTTAAAGAGGGCGTTGTAGTGTTATAGAGGGAGGTGTAGAGGGTTAAAGAGGGCGTTGTAGTGTTATAGAGGGAGGTGTAGAGGGTTATAGAGGGCATTGTAGAGTGTTAGAGGGGGGTGTAGAGGGTTATAGAGGGGGGTGTAGAGGGTTATAGAGGGCATTGTAGAGTGTTAGAGGGGGGTGTAGAGGGTTATAGAGGGGGGTGTAGAGGGTTAAAGAGGGCATTGTAGTGTTATAGAGGGAGGTGTAGAGGGTTATAGAGGGGGGTGTAGAGGGTTAAAGAGGGCATTGTAGTGTTATAGAGGGAGGTGTAGAGGGTTATAGAGGGGGGTGTTGAGGGTTATAGAGGGCGTTGTAGAGTGTTAGAGGGGGGTGTAGAGTGTTATAGAGGGGGGTGTAGAGTGTTATAGAGGGGGGTGTTGAGGGTTATAGAGGGGGGTGTAGAGGGTTATAGAGGGCATGTGTGTTATAGAGGGAGGTGTAGAGGGTTATAGAGGGGGGTGTTGAGGGTTATAGAGGGCGTTGTAGAGTTGTTAGAGGGGGGTGTAGAGTGTTTATGTTAGAGGGGGGTGTAGAGTGTTTAGAGGGGGGTGTTGAGGGTTATAGCGGGGGTGTTGAGGGTTATGAGGGGGGTGTGGTTTGAGGGTGTTATAGGGGAGGTGTGAGTGTTATAGAGGGGGTGTAGAGTGTTTAGAGGGGGGGGGTGTTAGTGTAAGTGTTCTAGCAGGGGGGTGTAGCGTGTTTCGAGGGGGGTGTAGAGTGTTCTCGGGGGGGTTGTGTGTGGTTTTCGGGGGGGTTGTTAGAGGGTTGGTTTGGGGGTGTGTGCGTGTTCTGAGGGGGGTGTCGGTGTTATGGGGGGTTTGAGGGTTATGAGGGCGGTGTAGAGGTTGTAGAGGGTAGGGGGGGGGTGTAGAGTGTTTATAGAGGGGGGTGTTGAGGGTTATAGAGGGGGGGCTTGTTGCGGGTTATAGAGGGGGAAGTTGAGGGTTATAGAGGGGGGTGTTGAGGGTTATAGAGGGGGCTTCTGTTCCCAGCAGGGTGCCTGCAGAGTGCTAAAACAGTCAGGAAAGTCCCAGGTTTCTAAGCTGGTCAGGCTGTTTTTATGACCTTCCCTACTTCTGTATAGAGACAGAGGGCCTTCTGTAGGGTTGCACCCTATTCCCTATGTAATGCACCACTTTTGACCAGGGCCCATTATACTCTACCAAGACTCTGCCAGGATTTTTTTGTTGTTGTTTCCTACACGTATGTAGTAATGTGCGTAAGGACAGGGACAGGCTGTGCTCTCCTCCCTCCTTAGCTCTCCTCACAGCTGCTCTCATCCTCTCGCCAGCCCAAAAATAGGCAGGTTAGCGTTTCTCGTCATGAATCTTGTTCTGGAGGCAGCTCAACAGAGTGGTCACTAGCTGGCACAGCCACAAAGTCAAAAAATCTGATTGTAAACCTAACACTAACTTTGACCACACTGCTAACCCTAATGCCTAACCCTAACCTTAAATTAAGACCAACATTTTTTCATTATTTTTTTACAATATAGCCCATTTTTACTTTACAGCTGGCCCATCTGGCGGAAATCGCTCCGTTCTGTCTTCTGGGCAAGATTCATGACAATAAACATCAACCTGCCAAAAATATACTATTTGCTTGAAATGGCAGCGGATTTGCATACCACGACAGGCAGCCAGGCAGCCAGTTGTCTCTGCTTGTTTGTTTACCATTCCTCATTCTGACTGTTGTTGTTGTTGCTTTTTACCTCTGCCTTGTAATGGAGGTTCAGTTGGTACTGGAATGTATTGTTGATTGTTTTGTTACAATATACTGAGCTCTGCTTTGTTGTTGTGTTTTGAATCAAGCTCTAGCATATTGTCCCAAAAGGCTGTGTTGTGTGACTGACTCCTCTCCTCTCTGCCACAGTAACATTCCCAGTGTGGGCAGTGCCATGGACCAGGACTACAACCAGAGCTACACACCCCAGACCCATACGCCCTTCATGTCCAATAGTGCCCCCCCCAGCAACAGTGGCACAGGCATCCTGCCCTCCCCAGCCACCCCGCGCTTCTCCGCCCCCACACCACGCACTCCCCGTACCCCACGCACCCCCAGAGGACCCGCCAGTGTCCAGGGCTCGCTTAAGTACGAGAACTCGGACCTATACTCGCCCGCCTCCACCCCCTCCACCTGTCGACCTCTCAACTCAGTAGAACCTGCCACCGTGCCCTCCATCCCCGAGGCCCACAGCCTCTACGTCACCCTCATCCTCTCTGAGTCCGTCATGAACCTCTTCAAGGACTGCAACTTCGATAGCTGCTGCATCTGCGTGTGCAACATGAACATCAAGGGGGCCGACGTGGGGGTGTACCTGAGCGACCCCACGGGAGAGGCCCAGTATCCCTGCACCTGCGGCTTCAGCGCCGTGGTCAACCGCCGCTACGGCAATGGCTCGGGCCTCTTCCTGGAGGACGAGCTTGACATCATCGGACGCGGCTCGGACGTCAGCCGCGAGGCGGAGAAGCGCTTCGAGGCATTGCGACAACATTCGCTGGAGAGGACGGGGGGAGGAGGGAGGGGGGAGAGGGTACCAGATGAGCTGATCTTACTGCTGCAGGACCAGTGCACCAACCCCTTCTCACCCATCGCTGGGATGGAGCCTGACAGCCTGGCAGCGCGGGGGGCCGGGGGTTGTCCTGTGCCCGCCTGTGTGAGGGTGGAGGAGAGGGACTACCACAGCGACTGCTACATGGCCTTGGAGCACGGCCGCCAGTTCATGGACAATATGTCAGGAGGCAAGGTGGACGAGGCCCTGGTCAAGAGTACCTGTCTACACCACTGGTCCAAACAAAACGGTAAGAAAAACACATTTTTGTTGTTCTAACCTGCATTCAAATCTGTGTCTAATAATACATTGTTATTCGCATTTGTCCCTGTCGAGCAGTTGGCTAGCATAACTAACCAATATAAACCAGTCTGTTCATTTTTCCTGCCAGTTATCAGAATGTTGGTATCTTTTGTGTTGTTAGTGCTATGTGTGTTCTCTCTCTAACCATCCTCCTCCTCTCCCCAGCGGTGGACGTCAGTGCTCTGTGCTCACAGGACGTGTTGCGGGTGCTGCTCTCTCTCCAGCCTGTACTCCAGGATGCCATCCAGAAGAAGAGGACGGTGCGCTCCTGGGGCGTTCAAGGACCCCTCACCTGGCAGCAGTTCCACAAGATGGCTGGACGGGGCTCCTATGGTAAGCCACCAGGGACAAAATGCTTCAAGACCCAGAGGCTCACACAGGCAGATGCAATGCAGCCTGTGTTTGCAGGAAGATCAGTAGTCATCTCAGTCACACTGCTGTAGTCCAGATGTCAGCTCAGTGGGAAGCTGCCACTGCTGTTGTGACGGGTTCACTTTGGGCTCTCAATCCTTCTCTGTGAATGTGACAGGTGACAGCACTGGCTTATTTAACGTCCTAATCTAGACTTTTCACCTCATTTAACACCTGATTTACTTAACAAAAGGCACATCTCAATAGGTGGTCCAGGTAAGTCATGTGTGACGCGTACTGAGTATATGAAGAGGCAGGACACAGACACAGGAATTAACAAGGTCAAGGTTTACTTAACAATGAGCAAGATAAATAACAAAGATAGAGTAAACGACACGACGCTTAACAATCACACACATCATCCAGAACAGTCCAGGGCTAAATAGGGGTGGTGATGAGATGATGAGGTGCAGGTGCGCTGGAGGTGATTAGGGTGCGTTGGGTTTCCATTCCGGTGTTGCCGAGGTGGTGCGCTCAGACCGGTGGCTCAGTAGACCGGCGAATCAGAGCGCCGGAGGGGAGCAACGGGGGGAGACGTGACATCATGACATAGCACAAGTGGGGGGGGCTTTACTCTTTTGTTCTCTATTGCTCCTCTATTGTTCCTCAAGCAAGGGGGGAGGCCGATGACATCGGCGGGCACCATCAGACCAACTCCTAGAATGTCCTACTCCTTGAAGTTTGCAGTTGTGTCTAAAAAACACAATTTTGCTCAAAACATATTTCTTTACCCTTTAGTGTGTGTACTTTACTGTATTTATCACTTTTCAACAGGAAAAGTTTAAAAATAAATCACTGGAGGACGACTAAGTACTTAATCACCATCTTCTCTCTCCTCCTCTTCACCCTCTCTTCTCCCTCTCCTCCCTTCTGCTCCCTCGCCCATCCTCTCCTCTCCTCCTCTTCTCCCTTTCTCTCTCCTGCCTCTCCTCCCCCCTCCTTCCCTCCATCAGGCACAGATGAGTCCCCAGAGCCCCTGCCCATCCCTACCTTCCTGGTGGGTTATGAGTATGACTTTGTGGTGCTGTCTCCATTCGGCCTGCCTTACTGGGAGAAGCTGCTACTAGACCCCTTTGGCTCACACAGGGACGTAGGCTACCTGGTGGTCTGTCCCGACAACGAGGCCCTGCTCCAGGGGGCTAAGAGCTTCTTCAGGGACCTCACTGCCGTCTACGAGGTAAGGCTGGAGAACGTTAACAACTGTCCATTTACCATGCAAGAGATGGGGCATCTTTGGACAGCTGAAGCAAGCACCTTTTTTGGAGTTGCCTGGTCCCAGATCTTGTTTTTCATGACAATGACCATTGGAGTTGACCATAGGAGTTGACCTTAGGAGATTAGAGCATATGTCCATGAGTGCAAGACTGCACAAATAGATTGGGGTCCAAGCTAGGGTCGGGGTCAGTTGGATTTTAATTTTGGATGTGAAATATTTACAAATTCCTATTTGAAAACAAAGGGCACTTTTCAATTCTTCAATGAAATGGAATTGACCCAGACCTTGTTAGAGGCTTACATCCCAGCCTACTGTAGTTATTGATTCAAAAAAAATGTGTCTGTCTACTCCAGCTCCTTATTGGAATGTCTTCCTCGACATCAAGTCACTCAGTCACTCCTGTGCTGATGTCTAACTATTCATCCAGCCCTCCTCTCCCTCCGTGTTCTCTGCAGTCATGTCGTCTGGGCCAGCACCGGCCAATCTCAAAAGGTCACCCGGACGGCATCGTCAGAGTGGGCGGATCGGCTGCCAAGAAGCTGGCAGAGCAGCCCGTCAGCGATTGGTTCATCAAGGCTGCCAGCGGCAACAGCGATGCCTTCGCCAAGCTCAAGCTCTACGCACAAGTCTGCCGCCACGACCTCGGTAGGTTCCAATGACAACACGGGTGGGGAATCAGTCGGGCTCAGGTCTTTCTGTACCCCCCCCATGCCCATATAGCCAAGGATTTAGAAGATCAAAAAGCCTATTTTTGGTTTCTAAAAGGATCTTGTTTTTCTAAAAGGTTTGTTGTAGCTGATGATAACTAAAGTGTAATGCTAGGTCATTCACATAGCTTATAAATTAGATTTTGTGGAAGATTATTTGACTGCTGTTAAGATTTGCTCTCTGCTCCTCTCTCTCCCCTCAGCTCCATACCTCGCCGCACAGCCTTTAGACAGCTCCCTCCTCACACAGCCCACGCCCCCTCCTGCCACCAGCCAATCCTCATCCATGCAATCCTCCGGCTCCTCCTCCTCCACCACCTCGGCTGGCCCCCAAAACTCAGCGACCCCCTCCCTCCCCAACAACAACAGCGCGCCTAGCAACAACACAGGTGTAGCCAACAGTACAAACAGCACGGCGTCGTCAGGGAGCCAGCCCACCAGCGGGGTGCAGTCTGCCAAGCCCAGCTCCTTCCCTCCCTTTGGGACCATGGGCATGCAAAACCAGGGCCAGAACCAGGGCCAGGGTGGTGCCACCCTGGGAGGGCAGCTGGGCCAGCAGGCTGGAACCCAGAACGCAGGCCTTCCCGGGGGTGACTCAGCCAGCCAGTCCCAAGCACCCACTGAACCCCTAGAGAGGTAGGTACAACACCAGGGCCTGCATTCACTCATATGTACACACACACACACACAGTGCCCGGAGGGAAACCCCATTCCTTGTCCTAACTCCCTCTCTCTCTTGTCCCCCGCTCCAGCACCATGGAGCGAGAGAAGGTGGGTGTGCCGACGGACGGAGAGTCTCATGCCATAACGTACCCCCCGGCCATTGTGGTGTACATTGTGGACCCCTTCACCTATGAGGAGCCTGAGGCTGGGTCCAGTGTGTGGACCCTTGGCCTGCTGCGCTGCTACCTGGAGATGCTCCAGTTCCTCCCACCACACATCCGCAACTCTGTCTCTGTACAGGTAACCTCAACACAAGTCTGCACGTGTGTGTGTTGATGAAAGAATGTTTGGTGGCAATGTTAGAAAGTGTATGTTTATTTAGAATAAAATATTTCACTAATAGTTGATAAGACTTTGTTTTAGTGCCAAATATGTCAGACCGGACAATCGGTACAAGAGTAGACAGAATGTAGATGTAATTTTCTTAAAGTTGTATGCTGACCGATTGGTATCCACCTCTCCCCTCTCAGATCATCCCGTGCCAGTACCTGCTCCAGCCGGTGAGGATCGAGGAGCGTCATATCTATGCTCAACACCTGAAATCCCTGGCCTTCTCAGTGTTCTCCCAGTGCAGGCGACCCCTCCCCAGATCCACCAACGTCAAGTCACTGACTGGCTTCGGCCCCGGCCTGGCCATCGACACAGCACTGAAGAGCCCAGAGGTAAACAAACATCCCTGATAAAAACAAACATGACATGAACCTAACTAACATTATCCCAACGTTAATTTAAGTAACATTATGCAGCTCCTACACCAGGGGTGGGCTTGTCTGGTCCTATGTGTCTGCTGGTTTTCTTTTCTTCCTTTGAATCATTGACTGGTTTAGAGCTGGGAAACCAGGTGTGTGTGTGCTATGGGAAAGCAAGGATGAATGAAGTGCCAGGGAGAGCAGTAAACCAGCAGACACTACCTCCCCTGAGGACCAGGGTTGCCCATCCCTGTCATAGCCTGACCCTCACTTCTGCTCCTCAGCCCTCTGCTCCTCAGCCCTCTGCTCCTCAGCCCCCTGCTCCTCAGCCCTCTGCTCCTCAGCCCTCTACTCCTCAGCCCTCTGCTCCTCAGCCCTCTGCTCAGGCCATGTGTAGTGTGCCAGCAAGAGACAGATAGCGAGGGAGAAGGGGAAGGAGCACTGAGATGGAGAAAGTGTTACACTAACCCCCTTAGTCCTGGAACAAGATCAGGGGATCTTATAACCCTCTTCCTTCTCTCCAGTTTTCTTTCCATTATCTGCTTGGCTAGCTGCCGGAGACCTCCCTAAGGGGTTCCAGGCTACAGGTTTAGACAGGGAGAGGCCCCAGACTGCCACCCAATCCTATTTAACTTTCCCAGGCCAGCCAGCCACTCGCCAGCTACTACATTACATTTATCCTGAGTGGGGACTAGAGCAGGAGCTGAGCTACTTAGCTAGCTGGATAAATGGCATCTCTGTAGTGACACTGGTGGAATGTTGGCTGTCGACTAACCAACCCAGTGACTCTCGTACATACAATGTCTTTCTAGTCCTAGAGTAGACCGACAGATATAGTCCTGGGTTGTGTTCAGTAGGGCACAATGTACCCAACCGTGTTGAATTTTTTTTTGCATTGTTATTGGACATAAGTAGGTAGCTACCTCCCAGTAAAGAAAATAATCCTTACTGAACATGACCCTCGTCTAACCCCTAACCTTTGACCCCTCTCTCTCTACCCAACAGAGACCAGAGTGTTTGCGACTCTACACACCTCCCTTCATCCTGGCGCCCACCAAGGACAAGCAGACGGAGCTGGGGGAGACGTTCGGAGAGGCCTCTCAGAAGTACAACGTGCTGTTTGTGGGCTACTGCCTGTCCCACGACCAGCGCTGGCTCCTGGCCACCTGCACCGACCTGTACGGAGAGCTGCTGGAGACCTGCATCATCAGCATCGACGTGCCCAACAGGTGGGACTATCTGGCAGCACACACCATCATCATCCTCACCACTACTACCACCATCTAGAGTCAGCAAACCTCAAGCAGAGCATTACAAATGGCAGTCTTTTGCAAAACAATGTTTGTTGTGGGTTGTTAAAATTTTTCCAAAATGCCAGGTAATGATGAGAACAATGTGTAGCTTTGAAGTGTAGTGATTATTTCAAGATCAACAATCTACAACTTTCCTTCAACCTGACAACTCGTTGGTGATTTGTAGTAATAAGTGTAGTGTTAAATGTTTAGCAGTGTTTTCAGTGTGTGACAGTATGTCTGTGTGTTTTGTTCTGACAGAGCACGGAGGAAAAAAGGCTCTGCCCGGAGGTCAGGCCTGCAGAAGCTGTGGGATTGGTGCTTGGGGCTGGTGCAGATGACATCTGTGCCATGGAGGGTGGTGATAGGTCGCCTGGGCAGAATGGGACACGGCGAGTTGAGAGGTGAGGAGGACAACAGTCAACCAGCAGCTTAGGATCTAGCCCTCTATAATCTCAATGGGGTACTTTGCTGTTTTACACTCATCTTGTCTTACTCATTCTCCTCTATATAACATTATTTTTAGTCAAAGAATATTGGTGTCTTCAGAGGTACTTTGCTATTTTACATTTCTCTTGTCTTACTCGTTGACTCATTCTTCTCTTTCTTTTCTCTCTTCCTCCTTTCCAGACTGGAGTATTCTGTTGAGCAGGAGGAACCTGCAGTCTCTGAGTCGCCGTCTCAAGGAGATGTGTCGTATGTGTGGCATCTCTGCCTCCGACACTCCCAGCATCCTTAGCGCCTGTCTGGTCGCCATGGAGCCGCAGTGCTCCTTTGTCATCATGCCAGGTACTATGTCCTTCTGCCTGCCCGTGTGTGTGTGTGTGAGAGAGTGTGCTTGCATCTGATGGATGGAGGTAGCCTATTATAATGCATGTCGCTCCTTGTCGTTATCAGATTGAAAGCTTTGAGGACACTGCTTCTCTCAGTCATAAACCACTAGTTCTCAGACTCCATTGATTTCTGTGTGATGTGATTGAGCGCTAGATCAATGGGTTTATTTTGGGGAGTGACTGGCATGGACCATTGATACTGTCAGTGTATAATATGGGTCTACTGCTGTATATGAGGATGGGCTGGACGGGTCCCTCCAGACCGGTGTTTTTGGTTAAAGGAGATTGCTGTCTCCTCTGCCAGGACTTTGCTTTGACCCAGACATTGTGGGTTGTACTCAACAGATAATCAGATCATTATTATAATCTGTGAATAGAGTGCTGGACCAATTAATAATGGGCAGTTGAAAGATGGATGTTGCTGTTATTGGCACCACTTACATTTTTGTTGCATCAATTAAATGGTGTTACTAATTAATTCACAGATTAATGGATGATAGCTATAGCAGATGTCAACAGTTTTAATTTTTGTGTATACTGTATGCGTTCAATGTAGATTCAATGAAGATGAACGTACTGTATTATTGACCTGTCTCCCCCCCTCTCTCTCTCCAGACTCTGTGTCTACAGGCTCAGTGTTTGGCCGTAGCACCACTCTGAACATGCAGACGTCCCAGCTGAGTACTCCCCAGGACACGTCCTGCACCCACATCCTGGTGTTCCCCACCTCAGCCTTCGTCCAGGTGGCCAGCTCCAACTACACTACTGACACCAACATAGACATTGCCTTTAACCCCATCCCCGGTGAGTCACACTGCTTTTCCCTCTGGCCTCACCTCTCAACTCTCACCTTTGACCTCAACTCATCCGTTTTATTGGAAGGCTTCCACTGCAACTTGTGTTGTCTTATCTCTCTTGAAAATAATTGATTGAGTCCATTGGGAATAGTTTTTTGCGCTATATAAATTCTCACCTCCGTCTTGTTTTTCTTTGCTTCATATGGGTCTCTATCTCTCTCCATTTTGCCTCAGAGTATATTGAAAATGGAAAGCTTACATGCTGACCATACTACTCGCGTCGCGTGCGCGAGCGTTGCAAAATAAATATACACATACGTTATTCAATCATTACATCCACACTGGTCGCGAGCATCTGCGTAGCCAGGCGCTAAAATAGATCTTGGTTCTATTTGTGACACTTGACGCGCTGCAAGTCCCGCCTCTCCCATTTAGGAGCATATACCCACGCGGGTGATTGAAAGATGAACACTCCAGTCCAGTTGGTTGGCAACCACCTTAAAGTTGGTTGCCAACCGCCATATAAAGTCCAAAGAAGAAGAACAAGCCTGAAGGAGGAGAGATTACTAGAAACGAACTTGGTTTACCCTTTTATCTGTGGATTAATTGTCGGAGTAGAGGACATTGTGCATTTCAGGTAAAATAACAACCCAATGTTTATATCCCATGACAAATTAGCTAGCAACAGCAAGCTAGCTAGCTAAATTGACAAATGTTTAATGCTTTTTAACCTGTCCCCAAATTAATATAGTTGGTTCAGAGTTCGTTTTGATATTTCAACCTGCATGTCTTGATCGTGTCTGGTGTGGATGGACAAAAATCAACATGCGCCCGATGGCGCACGCACGCATGCGAGAGTTCTGGTCAGCATCTTATTCTAAGTCTCTGGCCTCTTCTCCTCCCTTCTTCTGTCCAGATGGGTCGGACGCCATTGGGATCTTTGACCTGCTGGATCAGGAGAACGACCTGGTGGACCCTGACATCATCAACATCCTGCCCGCCTCGCCCACCACCTCGCCCGTACACTCCCCCGGCGGCCACTACCACCAGGGGGGAGACGGCAGCAAGGTAGGCCCACCACAACTGTGTAGACTGTATGAGAGAGACTCTAGTAGTAGTACATAATTTATAGAAGCAAAAAAAGACCCTAAATTTAAGATTAACACAAAGTAATTTATACTGAACAAAAATATAAACGCAACATTTAAAGTGTTGGTCCCATGTTTCATGAGCTGAAACAAAAGATCCCAGAAATTTTCCATATGCACAAAAAGCTTATTTCTCAAAAATGTTGTGCACAAATTTGTTTACATCCCTGTTAGTTAGCATTTCTCCTTTGCCAAGATAATCCATCCACCTGACAGGTGTGGTATTTCAAGAAGCTGATTAAACAGCATGATCATTACACAGGTGCACCTTGTGCTGGGGACAATAAAAGGCCACTCTAAAATGTGCAGTTTTGTCACACAACACAATGCCACAGATGTCTCATGTTTTGAGGGAGCGTGCAATTGGCATGCTGACTGCAGGAATGTCCACCAGAGCTGTTGCCAGAGAATGTAATGTTAATTTCTCTACCATAAGCTGCCTCCAACGTCGTTTTAGAGAATTTGGCAGTACGTCCAACTGGCCTCACAACCGCAGACCACGTGTAACCACGCTAGCCCAGGACCTCCACATCCGGCTTCTTCACTTGCGGGATCGTCTGAGACCAGCAACCCGGACAGCTGATGAAACTGTGGGTTTGCACAAACTGTCAGAAACCGTCTCAGGGAAGCTAATCTGCGTGCTCGTCGTCCTCACCAGCGTCTTGACCTGACTGCAGTTCGGCATCGTAGCCGACTTCAGTGGGAAATGCTCATCTTCGATGGCCACTGGCACGCTGGAGAAGTGTGCTCTTCACGGATGAATCCTGGTTTCAACTGTACTGGCCGTCGTGTGGGCGAGCAGTTTGCTGATGTCAACATTGTGAACAGAGTGCCCCATGGTGGCGGTGGGGTTATGGTATGGGCAGGCATAAGCTACGGACAACAAACACAATTGCATTTTATCTATGGCAATTTGAATGCACAGAGATACCGTGACGAGATCCTGAGGCCCATTGTCATGCCATTCATCCGCCACCATCACCTCATGTTTCAGCATGAAAATGCACTACCCCATATGGCAAGGATCTGTACACAATTCCTGGACAACATTTCACAGGCCACAATCAACAGCCTGATCAACTCTATGCGAAGGAGATGTGTCGCACTGCATGAGGCAAATGGAGATCACACCAGATACTGACTGGTTTTCTGATCCACGCCCCTATTTTTTTTTACATGCCCCTACTTTATTTTTTTAAAAGGTATCTGTGACCAACAGATGCATATCTGTACTCCGAGTCATGTGAAATCCATAGATTAGGGCCTAATGAATTTATTTCAATTGACTGATTTCTTTATATGAACTGTAAAATCTTTGAAATTGTTGCATGTTGCGTTTATATTTTTGTTCAGTGTAGTAAAGTCGATTTGGCTTGGGATAAATGGCTGGATTGATAATGCTAGTGTTACTTAGTCTTGAGGAGTTGATCTGTATTGTATGAAAAAGCAAAAGCCTTGTACAGTGTATATCAGGGCTATTCAACTATATTATTTTGGGAGCCAGATGTAAAAAAGGTTAATTGCAGTGGGGCCGGACTTTTTCCACATGCGATTATTCTGTATAAAACTGCAACGCACAGCCACCAATAAATAACTTTTCCTAAAATGAAATGTTGCTAAAAGTAATTAGGAAAGAAGTGGAGGCCGCTCAACCGTCTAGGTGCAACCAAAAAATTTGATCATAATTGTAAAGGAAAAGGCTCAACGCTCGCTCATAATTGTTTTTATTTCATTTAAACAACTATTAAACACTTCTTTAAAATAATTAGGTCATTTTAAAATAATCTAAAAACTAAGCATCTCAATAAATAACACAAAGATACACATGGCCAAAAGTATGTGGACACCTGCTCGTCAAACATCTCATTCCAAAATCATGGGCATTAATATGGAGTTCGTCCCCCCTTTGCTGCTATAACAGCCTCCACTCTTTTGGGAAGGCTTTCCACTAGATGTTGGAACATTGCTGCTGGAACTTGCTTCCATTCAGCCACAAGAGCATTAGTGAGGTTGGGCACTGATGTTGGGTGATTAGGCCTGGCTCGCAGTCGGCGTTCCAATTCATCCCAAAGGTGTTTGATGGGGTTGAGGTCAGGGCTCTGTGCAGGCCAGTCAAGTTCTTCCACACCGATCTCAACAAACCATTTCTGTATGGACTTCGCTTTATGTACGGGGCAATTGCCATGCTGAGACAGGAAAGGGCCTTCCCCAAACTGTTGGAAGCACAGAATCATCTAGAATGTAATTGTATGCTGTCGCGTTAAGATTTCCCTTCACTGAAACTAAGGGGCCTAGCCCAAACCATGAAACTGCCCCAGACCATTATTCCTCCTCCACCAAACTTTACAGTTGGCACTCTGCAGTCGGGCAGGTTGCGTTCTCCTGGCATCCTCCAAACCCAGATTCGTCCATCGGACTGCCAGATGATGAAGCGTGATTCATCACTGCAGAGAATGCATTTCCACTGCTCCAGAGTTCAATGGCGGCGAGCTTTAAACCACTCCAGCCTACACTTGGCATTGCGCATGGTGATCTTAGGCTTGTGTGCGGATGCTTGGCCATGGAAACCCATTTCATTAAGCTCCCGATGAACAGTTATTGTGCTGACGTTGCTTCCAGAGGCAGTTTGGAACTTGGCAGTGAGTGTTGCAACCTAGGACAGACGCGCTTCAGCACTTGGCGGTCCCGTTCTGTGAGCTTGTGTGGCCTACCACTTCGCGGCTGAGCCGTTGTTGCTCCTAGACGTTTCCACTTCACAATTACAGCACTTACATTTGACCGGGGTAGCTCTAGCAGGGCAGAAATTTGACGAACGGACTTGTTGGAGAGGTGGCATCCTATGACGGTGCCACGTTGAAAGTCACTGAGCTCTTCAGTACGGGCCAATCTACTGCCAATGTTTGTCTATGGAGATTGCATGGCTGTGTGCTCGGTTATATACACCTGTCAGCAACGGGTGTGGCTGAAATAACCGAATCCACTCATTTGAATACGTGTCCTCATACTTTTGGCCATGTAGTGTATGTCATATCAGGTAATGCCAAATTCCAGTCTGAAGGAACTATGCTTTGAATTCATTCCCCTCAGTCATTAGGTGCGTTTTTTGTCACACTCCCTTCTAAGGGGTCCTTGTGACTATCAGAGAGGGAAACAGAAGGCACGTATGTGTTCCTTAGAGTCGTAGCTTTCAAGAATGGAGTCATAATATTTTGTAGCTTAAACGGTTCAAACGCTAGAGCCAAATTCATATGAAGAAACAGTTATCAACATGCCATATAGGCGCTAAAAAACACTAAAAACCAATAGAAACCACACTAGACAACCACCAAAGTTCTTGTCATTTTGGCACTGAACATCGGATTTGGGCAGTTTTTTTCTCCTCCAGATATTTGATTAATGTTCTGAATTCATCAAAGGATCAGTATAAATTAATAAACGTTACGGATCTGGCCCGCGGGCAGCCAGTTGAATAGCCCTGGTGTACATTATACCAAGCCAGAGACTAACTCCTCCTCCCTTCCAGGGCCAGATTACGGATCGGATGGAATCCCATGATGAAGCTCCTAATATCCTGCAGCAGCCCCTGGCCCTGGGCTACTTTGTGTCCACAGCCAAAGCCGGCCCACTGCCTGACTGGTTCTGGTCAGCCTGCCCTCAAGCTCAGAACCAGTGTCCTCTTTTCCTCAAGGTATACCTGTCAGACAACCTCCGCCAGCCCTCACTCCTGGATTATAATATGTATTCTGATTTTATGCTAGCTAGCTTGAAGTACTTTTTAATGGTCTTTTTTTTTAAGGATTGTTTTTTACTGACAGGAGTTGACAGACTGAAGCTTGCGGTTGGAATATCAAACACTCAGAGTTAATTGAAACATCATTTTCTTTTAACCTATAATAATATTCACTTGCTCTGGATGTCAGTGATTGACTGATGTTTGCTCTGGTATTACTGTGTGAATGGCTTAACTAGGCCTGTCACTGACTCCCTTTGTGTCTTGTATTTTCTTTGCTCAGGCCTCTTTGCACCTCCATGTGTCTTCAGTGCAATCAGATGAACTGCTGCACAGCAAACACTCCCACCCCCTTGACTCCAATCAGACCTCAGACGTACTCAGGTAAACACACACCCACTCTGCAGTCAAACAGTGAATCTCATCCACAGCTCAGCCATTGAAGATATTTAAAAAATGTTCTAGCCTATCTGTGTATCTAAAGTGCTTATAAAAGAGAGAGTGAAGTATTCCACTTGATCTCAAGGTTTGTGCTCTCTTTGAGAGGTGTTCATTGTGAATAACACATGCTGTATCCAATTTGTAAGTCGCTCTGGATAAGAGCGTCTGCTAAATGACTTAAATGTAAATGCATCTCTCCTCCTCCCTCTCTCCTCCTCCGCCTCCCTCTCTCTCTTATCTCTCCTCCCCCCTTCAGATTTGTGCTGGAGCAGTACAACGCCCTCTCTTGGCTGACATGTGACCCCGCGACGCAGGACCGGCGCTCCTGTCTGCCCATCCACTTTGTGGTGCTCAACCAGATGTACAACTTCATCATGAACATGTTGTAACAAATAGCCTGAGGGGGAAGAGAGGGGAAGAGGAGAAGAGGAAATTCCAACCTGACAGGCTGATGCTGGACTGCAGTGTTGGACTTCACTATGTGTTGTGTGGATCTGGATCTGAATAGGAGATCAGAGAGGGCTTCTGGATGGAAGGAAGGCCTCAGCCATAGCAACGGAAACGGGTCATAGAAATGGCTCAGTCTGCTCCTGCCACTGTGACACACACAAGAAGAAGAAGTAAGAGAATGAGGAAGAAAAATAGGAAGATTTCTGGAACGGGTGATGCTAATAACAGGAACAAGAGAAAAGGAGAGAGATCCCAGTTGGCATTGTAACACTGTGGCAAAATCGTAGTCAGACAGTCCTTTTGGAAAACGTCTGTAAAGTATTGGAAGAAAAGGGACATTTCAGTGAACTAAAAACTTGAGCGTGGATCCTTGGTTTTAAGACCCGAAATATTCCCTTTTTTCCTTTGGATAAAATGTTATCCAAATGAAATGCCTGCATCTATCTTATTTATTGTAAGTTTTTAAATGTATAATTTGTCTTATTTCATAACATCTTTTATATATATAAAAAATAGAGAAGGTTTATATCGCTTTCCTGCTTTAAAGCAACTTGTCTAAGATATATGTAATCTTAATGAAAAAACTAACAAAAAACCCAGAAAAATGAAATAAAGTCGCAGTAGGTTGCTTTTAGAGTATTATTTTTTGTATTGGGGACAATATATTTGTATTGTCACGATGTACAGAAGAAGTAGATTGGAGAATTATGTCCATGCCTTTGTGCGTGCAGGATTTACAGCTAAGCTGTAGCAACAGAGGACTTGTACAGCAATGAAGTTTACTGTTCAAATAAAGAGGTACATTGTCGTATATAGTATTTTATACCACACATTTAGACACAAAAACCAAACAGCAATATATATAGATAATTATATATGAATGCCGTGCCAGCGATGGGTGGGGCGGCTTCTGTTTTAGGAATAAAGTGTGTCAACTAAATTTTACATGTGCTTGTGTGTTGTGGTTCTTGCTTATTGGGCGAGTGATTGTGATGTGCAACTATTTGACAAGGACACCAATAGTGGAGTGGAATAAAACTATTGGCTTCTCTTGGATGTAGCTGACCTCACGTTTGACCTGTCTGGTGACAGATGTTGATGGAGAAAGAAAACATAATAGAGCAAGAAAAGTTCCTATCCTGTCCTTTCAGATTTAGCACATCCTCTATACCTCTTCTTATCCATACAAATCCCAATTTGCTCTTGAGGTTTGGCTTTTTGGCACCATTTCTGAGTGGTTACGGATGCATTTAAACCAACTACATTTTACTTCTGTGTGAAAGTAAATGTGTGGTGTAAATGAACTTTAACTTTGGCCAAATTAATGGATGCTCATTGGATATGCAGTGTTTGTTTGTGCAGAGGAAGATCATATCTTGTATCTTCACCTGTTCAGAATAAAACTGTACTTTCAGTCAAATCCTATGTAATTTCTCTGTTCTTGCATTCTTCAGATTTGACACCGCATGGTGTATTCATACATTAGCTTGCAAGAAATGTTTTATCAAGATGTACGCCTATGGTCTGCTTTTGTGTGTAAATATACTATTCAGATATATATATATTTTTTTTTTTTGTGCCACATAACTTTTTAGTTTTTTTCATGGTCCAAATCGAGAGTGTTTGGTTGACAAATAGTGCCTCCCACAATGCATCTGATGGCTGCATGCCGTTGGTGAGAAGCAACTGCAGCGACTTCATCAAAAAACTTCATGACCTTTGATTACATGATTTTTCTAAGGTCCAAGCGGTCGACATGTACTGTTGCCACGTTCAAAACATCTGGGAAGTGGGAACTCAGAAATCTCCGACTTCAGTGCGTTCAAACTGGGAACTCCGAAAAAAAACGACTTTCGGCTGGGAAAAATCGATTTGAACGGTCATCCAACTCGGGAACTCGGCCCTCTTTCTAGAGCTCCGACTTTCGGACCTGAAGATCAGTGACGTCATGATTTGACCTTGTATTTTTCTGAGTTCCCAGTTGTTTTGAACATAGCATGAGAATCCCAAACCACCCCCTTGCCCCTCCCAAATACTGATGTGCAGTTCGCGAACGATTCATTCTTTTTGAATGACTCTTTCAATTAACCTCTTAAATGTAATGGCAAAATGTAGATTTCCTCCTAAATAGACATACCCAAATGTAACTGCTATTCATGTGTAATTACATGATTCTGACATGCAAAAACGTGGTATATTTGGAAAGAAGACATCTGGGAGATTGAGGAAATGATCAGAAGATAGATAGGAGTTACATAGTTCAGAATACATAAGATCAAGCACACAAAAATAACCATTTTATATTTATTTTGAAAGTTATCTTTCATTGACAAGCTATAAGTGAATTATTGATGACTAGAGCTGGAAGCACATCAGATGGCTTCCACAACTCAGTGGACATTCGATGTTGCCATTAAGTCATACATCATCAGATAACATTGGCAATATGCTAGATTTGTTCCTACCAATTTAAGGATTAATTTGAACCCCCCCAGCTATAGTTAATCGAAGCTTACCTTATAAGATGTTTGCTGAAAACGTTGTGTAAAATAAACATTTTGACTCTCGGGGCTGGTGATCAATAACGGTAGGACACAGGCAGACAAATAATATATCCTCATGATCTGTGGAGTCCCGGCTTTCGGTGTGTGTCAACGTATTCCGTGTTTATTTCGTTTATGCTTCACAACGCTAACCGGAATGTAGGTAGCAGCCATCTTGAAATGAGGTAATCGGCTCGGCCTGCCTTTATAACTTCGTATGCCCATATATGGTAGTAGCTCATACCAAAGATTTGAAGAAACCGATCAATAGCCAAGATACACAGCTTTCCGCAGACACCCTGCTTTTGCAGATGGGGGCTATTGTTCTCAAACCAGACTGAATTGAATAAAATAAATCAAATAGGGTCCCCAAATACGGGGACTTTACTTTTAACTGTCTCGAGAGTCATGATTCGTTTTTCTGAGTGATTCGTTTGTTTGACCTGCTGGCCGCAATGAATTCCAGACCCGGCGCCAGAACCGGACCTCCTATGTGAGCACCCGCTAAATGGGTGTAATAGTAAAGACCATAGGCAGCTCATGAGTTTCAAGTTTGGGGAAGCTTACAATTTGTCCTACCATTTCTACTGATCTGCCTGGCAGTTATGAATATTTATATACGCACATTTTCGTGGAACAGTTACATTTAAATAATAACGTCTTCGTTTCTCAAAATCATTGTCATATGGTTAATCATAAAAATCAGAAGTAAAGTTATAAAAATCTAAAAGTTAAAATTCAACTATGGCGAGAGCACCAGCCTCTGCCATATGGACACATTGATACACTGTGATCCATTGCGGCTAAATAAATTAGAGCATAGAACTCAAGAGATAGCCTATATAGGCCAATGCAGCAGTAGGCCTATAACTTCCATCATCAACTAAATAAAATACATAGGCCTAAAGCCGACAAATAAAAACAGTAGAATATATCCTATCCTTTCCTACATATTCATGCATTCTGGAGACGCACCATATCTTCGCCACATTTTAAACTATACTCAAGACACATTATCTTCACACATATTTTAGACGCTTTTCACTGACAGCCGCAACTCAATCAGCAAGACATATTGCCATGCCCACTACCCAAATTGAAACAATCCACAGCAATAAAAAATAAAAAAGAATAGCTAATGATCCTCTTTGGTTAAGTCATGCTCCCTGGTGAAGTATTTTGAACAACTTTTATTCAAACAATGGGAGTCTTTGTCCCAAAGGCAGGAAGGCAGGCGACACACTTAAGTCTGCATATTATTCCCATAGAAACTCGTTGGGTTTATACTGGACAGATTTTGGCGAGTGAGCCCTCTCGCTTCGCCTCTTCCTCTCTGCTGAAACTATATCACCGGAGAAACCATCCGGCGAGCGAAACAGCGCCCCTCAATATGTAGCCCATGTATCAGATGCTGTCTGGACAGAAATAGTATGACATGCCATACTCTTTTGGTCCAGACAGCATCAGATACATTGTCTACATACTGAGACACAGAGGCGCTGTTTCGCTCGCTCCGATGCTTTAACTGAGATTGATGTGTCTTTCTGTCTCCAGTCAGCATGTCAGTCAAATAAATGATCACTATTTCAATATTTTATTTGGATGGGCAATGAGGTATGGTAGGGCGGGCCAGACCCCCTAACACGCTGATTAGACCGGGCATTCGCGCCATCGCACGCATGTTGATTTTGTCCATCCACACCAGACGCGATCAGGACACGCAGGTTGAAATATCTGAACCAACTATATTAATTTGGGGACAGGTCGAAACGCATAAAACATTCATGGCAATTTATGCTAGCTTGTTGTTGCAAGCTAATTTATTCTGGGATATAAACATTGGGTTGTTATTTTACCTGAAATGCATAAGGTCCTCTACTCCGACAATGAATCCACAGATAAAAGGGTAAACCTAGTTAGTTTCTAGTAATCTCTCCTCCTTCGGTCTTCTTCTTTGCACTATATATGGCGTTTGGCAACCAACTTTAAGGTGCATTACCACCAACAACTGGACTGGAGTGTGGACCTCAGTTCATCTTTCTATCACCCACGTGGGTATATTCTCCTAAAAAGCAATGAGGAGATGGGAGAGGAAAATACATGTTTAAAACTGATAAATGATTGAATGATGCAAGAATTAATGCAATCAATTGATTATTGGACTATTTGCATTGACCCCCTTTTTTGTGCTGCTGCTATTCGCTGTTTATTATCTATGCATAGTCCCTTACCCCTACCTACATGTACCTACAGTGGGGAAAAAAAGTATTTAGTCAGCCACCAATTGTGCAAGTTCTCCCACTTAAAAAGATGAGAGAGGCCTGTAATTTTCATCATAGGTACACGTCAACTATGACAGACAAATTGAGAAAAGAAATTCCAGAAAATCACATTGT